TTGCCACACCCCGGACAGGTATGATAGCAAGCATGACGGTGAGCCCATGCACGTGTTTGGCGAGGCGATTGAGCTATGCTCATTGCCCAACAAAGGCGCTCATATTATAGCCCAAAATCGCCGGACCCGTTGTGCTGTCGTATGCCCGGTGGTGGGAGTGTGCGCAGTTGGGGATGGAAGCATATGCCTTGACCAAATCCGAGCCGCCGGCGGTGGGGACCAGCGTTTGGTGGAAGGCGGAAGGCGTACAGTCGTCGAGTCGCTGAGTCGTCACGGAAGTCGTCGGAAGCTGACCAACTCGCTTGAACTCACTGTGTGTGAAACAGGAAGGTGGAAAACGAGCGCGGCAGAGCTTAGGTGATGCACCGTCGATTGGAGGAGGTCGGCCTCAGGGCACACCCGCATCAAACGAGTCTGGAATCCACACGTTGAATCTGGAAACTCCAAGCATTACAGTCTCTCGCAGCTGCTCGGACGGTTGTTGGAACGAACGCCCTGAAGCCTCCTGACTCCGAACTTGGGGAGGTTCTCAGACCTCACAGATGGCCCAGAGCCCTCAGAGGGCTCCAAACCGGACAATCCAAAGCCCTAATGGGGCTGGAAACGACGACGCCCTGAAGGCCACGTGCCCGAAGGGCTGCGAACCTCGAGAACACCAAGGAGAAGAAAAGAGAGAGAAGAGAAGTTAAGGTGGTGCTCCGGATGGTGGGAGAGGAGGAAACCACTATGCGCACATGCTTAAGTCTCCATGAAGCGTCGCTCAAGCGGTTCAGAACCAAATATCATCATTCAAGCGCAAATCAGATGTCTTTGGGAAACTGGTTGGCCTGTAATAGACTGCAGATTGACCGCCGCTTGACCGGCGCCATGGCAGGCGTTCGCCGCTCCCGGGAACCCCCAAAGGCAGGCGAGTCCCAGTGCCGGCTGTTGCCTTGGCTGACCATTTGGCGCCTCTTTGGCGCTGGCTGCTGCGCCCCGAATTGGCAAATTGAGGCACAACCTGCAAGGCGAGAGTGGGACGCAGGAGATTGGCCTCCCACTCCCATCACTTTGTGGCGCCGCGTGTGGGATTAACCCATGGGTGGCCACAATTGGTGCCCGCACAAAGGGCGACAGCGGCGGGAGTGGGAGGCTGCGGTGGCCGTTTCACTCCCATCAATTTTGGCGACGTGCTCTGCATTGTTCGCCAAAGCGTTGAGCGCTGCGTGATCTCCGCGATCTGTGGGTGCTGAGGGCCTCATGCCACAACACAATAGGCTGGCCCCGTCGCCTGGCCAATCAGCTCGCTGCCGCGCTGCAGCCTCCAATGGGCGCTTTGTCCATGGCTTGCAAAGCGGTTGTGGGAGAAGATTGCCGGCACCAGCTTAAAGCCCCTCCAGCTTTTGTTTATCTTGCTTTTCGCAAGTGTGGCCGCACGGCCGCCCAGGGCGCTCATCGATCCAACCCACAGTCCCTTCACCCCCATTCAACTTTGGACACTTTCAGGCGAGGATCGCTGCGAGGCGATCCCCTGATTTGCCGCATTTGTAGATCGGGCGAATTCACCAAATTATACGCATTCATGATAGACACGCATGTGTCTCACTATACAAATTTCGGTGCCCTGCTGCACCAGTCATTTAAACATGATGAATAACGTAAACTTTGCTAACCCAAGCCAGATCGCGAATTGGCAAAGCTACCGTATTTACCCGGTATTAGTAGGCGTGTATTGGACCCCAAATTTGAGCGGTGGATACTAATAGTGGGTCATGGATACTAACATGGTTTAGACCCCCGATCCAAGGAGTAGACAAGAAAATTTTTGGAAAATAGGCGGTGAAATACCCAAAAATAGGCTTTAAAAAAATGCAAGATGCAATACAACAACAGTCACATCACCAAGTCAAAGTCACAAAATCCCAACCAAAAAAGCAGAAATGCATTCACAATCAATCGCTGTCCACATCCATATCTGATGCAAAGCCATCAAAATCCTCATCAACACCCTCCGAATCCTCTCCCAAATCATCAGGTCCTGCCACCAACTGATCCTCAACCTCGTGCAGTGCATTCCTGATATCATCCATAGCATTCTGCCACACATCTTCACTTACATGCAATGAGCTTGCATGCGCAAAAAGCATTCTGAATAGTGCTTGGCTGAATTGCACCCCAAGCCCTCTCAATCCACTGACACACCAGCCACAAAGGTGGTGCCCGCAGATTGTTTTGATTTGTGTATGAATGGTTGGCTCGATCTGCCATCCACTCATTCCAATATCCTCGCAAGTGACCCTTGAACACTTTGTTGACCCCAACATCCAATGGTTGCACCACAGATGTACAACCACTGGGAACAATCGCAATGTGAGCCCCTGCCTGCCTGTACATTTTTTTGACTTCAAAATCCAAATGCGATTTGAGACTATCCATTGTAAGAACTATGCGGCCTGTACGGAAGAACAACCTGGAGTGTTGGTAAGGCAAATAGCAGCGATTGAACCATGTCCGCATGCCCCCAACATCCATCCACCCTTTCTGATGACATGCAATCTCCACACCTGCTGGCCATCTCCCCCCAATTGGCAATCTAGGCAGCTTGTTGTTTTTCCGCTTGAGAATAACAAGGGGCTTTGCTTTGCGCCCTGAAGCACTGCAACAAAGTACAACACTCACGCGACTCTTCTGATGCCCTGTCGTGCGCACATTGATGTGATGGGCACCCTTGGTGTCCACACTGAATTCGTGGGGCATATCCAAAAAGACAGGAGTTTCGTCCATATTGTCCAAGTGATCATCTCCCACATCAAGCTCTTGGCATAGCTTTTTGGTATATTCCTGGAACTCTTCCACTTTTGGTGCAAGGTCAACAGGCAGCTTCTGCGGGCAAGAAGTCCTTCTTCTCAGTGCCAAGCCAAATCTGATCATAAATCGTTGGCACCAGTGCTGCCCCGCCTTGAATCCCCGGACATCAACTTCACTATAACCATATTTTGGGAGTTGCACCAAACGCAAAGCTTCCCTCATAATGCTCCTGCGGGTGACAGCAACGTGCTGCCCCCGTAAGTCAAGGATCCACGCGTGCAAATCTTTCTCCATTTGTCGAAATTTCCCACGATCTTGGGAATCGCCAGATCGGATGCGCTTGGAGGTACAGTGAGTGCCAAGCGCAAGCTCTCTCTGCGCAAGCCATTTATTCAATTGCGTGGTTTGCAATCCTTTTAACTCACAAAACCGCCGCTTTGACTTTCTCTCGCCTTGCGGGAGCTCCTCATTGCAGCGCCAAGCTTCCAACACCTCAAGCCTTGCCGCCACTGGCCATTGCCTCCGTTTGAACTTGACACTCTTGACACCCGTTCTTCGACATTCCTCTGGCAAGGCCTTTCTTGCCCGGTTCATCATGTTCGCCTCCCCTCCACTTGGTGGGAGGCGCCTGCTTGGCGGCGCCTGGTGTTGCGGCGGCTCAGTGTGCACGGAGCGCCAGCGCCAGACTGGCGTTGTGTGGCAGAACAGATTTGATGCAAATGAAATGTACATTTGCAACAAATTTGACGGGAGATGCCAGCGCGTTCGTGTGGACGGCAGCTCTGCCGTGGGGTTCGGTTCGCGCGCCTCCGGTCAACCTGAAGGAAAGCTTGGGCGAGCTTCACGGCGAGTGTGTGGAGACCGGTTGTGAGAAGTGCCAGGGCTGGCGGCTGGGCGTGTGGCATGCAACGTGTCACCAGGCGCACCTTGGGGCTGCCAACAACAACCATCGAGTAACCCCAACGGACAAGCAAAGTCGAAGGAGATCCCACAGCGCAGGGCAAGCACGTGTGTGTGTGGCTGATAAGCCACGGTGCGCATAGTCGAAGTGGTCGTATGCACTTTTCAATCGTTGTTGTGCAACTGAGTGCCGCGGGATCCAGCGTGATGGCTGCGGAGGTGAGCACGATCGCGAGAATTGCGACAAGAACAAGTCCTGCCGGCAGGTCTGCAGTTGACTCCAGGCCCATAACTGTGCCATGGACACTTGGCCTGCAGCCGCTTGACAAGCAAACAACTTCTTTCGCCATCGGATCAGCTGCTTAAGCTGTGAAGCTTGCAGCCATCAAGTGCATCGCACTGTAATGTGAGCTGTTTGCAGCAGCTGTTGCACGTCGAAGGCATGCAATATGAGTGCTGCGCAAGCAAAGACATGCAAAATAACTTCCTCTCCCTAAGGCGAGTCCAACGAGCCCTCTTGAGCTCGTTTCTGTTGAAGTTTGGGGGTGGATACTAACACCGGGTCATGGATACTAACGTGGTTTCGACCCCCAAAGATGGGGGTGGATACTAAAAGGGGGTGCCTACTAATACCGGGTAAATACGGTAATTGGCACCACCACAATCTGCCGATCAAAGCGTTGTTGGGCACACACAGGTCATTTAGGGAAATGCTGCAATCAGACAGAGCGCTAGCAGATCCAGAAACCCTCATAAATGACTCGAGCGAGGGGAGCCCTCACTCTGCTCCCAAGTCGGCCGATCGCCAACATAGCTTTGGTCACGATAGGCCCACGTGCACACAGCTGAATTGCTTCAATCATTAAATCATGGAAAATCGTACAAAATTTTGTTCATCGCAAACCCGAGTCAAGAGAAACCGAATAGCGTGAATTTAATCGCTTTTCTGGTGGTCATTCAATCGCAATACAAATCAAGTTCCGCGCCCTCCAAAGCACACGGCACTGACTGCAAAGAATTCGCCCCCTGCAACTGCCGCGGGACTCGAGCCACCAGGACGCAAACCACGGGCTTACCACAAAACGGTCTGGTCGCCACATGACCAGAGCAGTGCGCAGCAGAAACAGCGCGCTCCAAGTGCGCCAAATGGCACGCTTGGCAATCCAAAGCTCGCCGGCGCCGCGCGTGCGCACTCGATCACGCGCCGGCCAGCAGTTCCCGAATCACTGCGCAGCAGAAACAGCGCGCTCCAAGTGCGCCAAATGGCACGCTTGGCAATCCAAAGCTCGCCGGCGCCGCGCGTGCGCACTCGATCACGCGCCGGCCAGCAGTTCCCGAATCACTTCAGCAGTCTCCGGAAACTCACATCCGCCCTCGGGGCACCTAAAAATATCGCTTTGCTCCCCCAGCTCCGTGCACAGACACACCAACTCTTCCGCGACGTTCCCGGCCGTGCTCACCACGCTCACGTTCGCCCCCCGCCCCACCAGAATCTCCGTCACTCCGACGTTGCCGAAAAACGACGACAGCACCAACGGCGTCCAGCCCTGCCCGCCCTGCGCGTCGATATCCGCGCCGGCGTCCAGCAGCGCCGTGGCAATGGCCTCGCTGGGATCCCCCAGGGTGAGCGTGGAGAAGTGCAGGGGAGCGAAGAAGTCTTGGACCAACATGTTCGGATCGGCACCCGCAGCGAGCAGCGCGTCGACCACATCAGCGCGGCCGAACTGCGACGCGGTAACGAGAGCCGTCAACTGGCTGTCGTTGTCGATGGGGGCATTGGCATCTGCGCCGCCTTCCAGCAGGGCAGTCACGACTTCGATGTGGCCTTCTTGCGATGCCCCGAACAACGGTGTGATGCCGTCAAAAGATCGGGGGCGGTTGGGGTCGGCCCCGGCCTGCGCACAGCATTCTATATTAGGCTCCAGTACACACGGCTGTATGCCGCAAAAATACACCGCAGCATATTAACAGTACTGCAGTGCAGCGGGTCACAAAACCCCATGCAAACGGAAGCAGTTGTCTTGTCGCCCGCGGTAAGCGTGCTTTAGTGATTGACGCCAAACTCCTGATGTTCTACTGGACATCTAAAGCCTAGCCCGGGCTTCAATTCCGACTATCGCTTTGCAAGATCAACTCAACTAGTTCATTGACTAATTGGTCCTTCACCAGATTCGGTCCACATTGGTCATCACCGCACGGCAAGGCATTTGTGACCTTGCCTTTCCACCGCCACTAGCAGGCACATTGTTGCGGAATCCTGATCCCAGCTCCGGAAGCACGCTGTTGTTCAGCGATAACATGGTTAATGCAGATATCATACAGGCATCGCTGCACTGCATTTACCCGCCCTTCCAATGCAGTCTGCATTGGACAACCATCGTTTGGAAAGCGATGCAAGAATCAGCTCTTTACAGCACTGGCTTGTGCCGGCTTTTCTTGATAGCGTATGACCTAATAAAGCTTAGCAGGTCCAATCCAATAGGTCCTATTAGGTGACTATTGCTGTTAAGCTACTGTCATGATACCTTGCACCATATTATATTTAACATACCTCGAGCAGGACGACAGTCACATTTGCGTGACCGTTGAGCGCCGCCGCAGTCAGCGGCGTATCGCCAAAATCAAAGAGCCGCACGTCCACGTCGGCGCCGCCGGCGATGGCTTGCTCGACCAGGCCTACATCCCCTGTGAATGCCCCGATCCACAGAATCTGCAGCACAGACAATTAAATCAACATACGATACAAGGAATACAGGTCGCGAAAATGGTCCATAGGCATTAAAATCTCCACAAACGAGTGCGCACTTCCGAAAAAACACCCAACATCAAGTTCAGCAAATTTCCGGATGTGCGTAAGAACATACAGTGAGTAGTAGTGATGTACAGTGAGAACGAACACCGAATTTATCGATATCAATTTAAGGACAGATTGATTCAATAACTTGCTGTCGAATTGATACAGTGAAAACCGATTGAACACTTCAAGAAGGGCATTTTACTGGTGCCCACCTGGTTAACGGATTCCTGATCTTCCGGCGTAAGGCCGCCCTCTTCCAAACCATCCACGCCATCGCCGGTCGACGGCTGCGCACCAAGCCAATTGCCCATAAACGCCAAGCATTAAGCACAATGAAATATTAAAAGTACAAAATACATTTAAAATGCCCAAAACGCGCATCAAATACAGCAGGTATTGTTGTAACACGAGTACATGAGTATAGTGGAAATGTAAGTACGGCAAGTATACACAGTATAGCGCGCAAATCGACTGATGCTCATCAATGTACCTTATATTGGCTTGTGCCCATCCCCCCCACCACCCCCACCACCCCCCACCCACCACTCACCCACCCACCACCACCACCCCACGCCCACACCCACACCCACATATCTCAGGAGGATACCAGTCCTGGTGATGCGCCATGCGCTAATTCGCCACCAGTCAAGTACATTAACAACATTCAGTACTATTGTCAAGTAGCATATTGGCAAGCAGTACAACATATAGCGAAACATACTACCCAGTAGTAACGTTCACGTGCAGGACTACTAAATGCCATTTTCGATCTACACTCATCATTATGCATTGCCGTATGTACCCGACCCATTTTCCGTTTTTTCACACATATGTTTTCCGGCTTTTTCCCATTTGTTTCTGATTTGTGGCCACACAATTGGCTGGCGCGGAACTCACCACAGGTGCCATGGCTGGTGCGGCGACCACCGGTGAGGCGGCCACCGATTCGTCTGCATCTGGCGTCGATTCGTCAGCACTGGGCGTCGTTTCGTTGATGGCGGGCGCCGATTCGTTGGCGCCCATTGTGGGCAGGGTGGGCATGGGCGTTGATGACGATATGCCGCCAGCCAACTGTCGGAGTGGCACGGAAAACGGATAGTCAGAACGATGTGTATTGTTGCAAACCACCAGTTAAATTGCAATTAACGTGGCGGCGATAACACTGTGTAATTACATAACATTATCTGCAACAGTAGTTAGTAGGAAAAGGTTATGCATTGCACAACACTATCTGGGCGATGGTGTTATGTGACTGCATAACATTACCTGCAAAAGGTACGCTGTTGCACCAGTCGTGGGGTCAAACAATAACATTGCACACGGCAATTGCGGGATACGATGTTGGCTTCAGAGAGCTGGACTATTTTCTTTGAAAGTCCTGTCAAGTTTATTACGAACGCTGGCCAGGAAATTTTATTGCTATTGGTTGCAACATTTTTCTGAAAAGCGCTGAAGGATGCCAACAGTCTGCACCAACAGACGCAGGCGCAAAGGCAAACAAACACAACACTATTTCGCCCAAACACTTCAACCAACATAAACATTCTAATGTCGTTACTACACACTGTGCTTAGTAAGCCCTTTATAAGTCATTGATTATTAGTCACAGTTTAATTGTCACTGATTCGACAAAAGTGGAACAAGGTTTACTATTTAGCAGCACTCGCTTGCACCACATCTCCTTGTAAGGTGCACGGTTGTGATAGGATATGGATAGATATCCTACAAATAGACAGAAATGGATAGAGTTAGTTTACACTAGTAGAAAACGGCATGCTTGCGATGCCATTTTGACACAAATTGATGCCATCGCACCCACTTTTTATGCCATCGCAATCACTGCGATGGCATCATTTTGTGTCAAAATGGCATCGCAGTTGGCATCGCAGACATGCCGTTTTCTACCAGTGTTAACTACAACTCTACTTAGTTGCAGTATCCATTATGAGTACTACATGTACTCCACAACGTCATGGATACTACATGTACTACACGAGGATAGCGTAGTACCAGTGTAGCAGTGTAGCAGTGCAGCAGCGTAATGGTGCAGCAATGTAGCAGTGTAGTAGAGAAGTACACGCTGTGTGCGGCGTGGGCGACCCACCGCAATGACGCCGTCGATCCACACGCGGTAGCTGGCCACCCTGGTGAACACGCTGGGCCTCACTGGCTTGCCGCAGGCCTCGGAGACTTCCCCAAACGATGTGATGCCGGAGATGATGTCCAGGTTCGGGCTCCCGGCGGAGGCGTTGCCATCGGGAGCGAAGAGCTTGATCAGCGGGCCGCCGCTGTCCCCTGGGGCGGCGTGCGAAAGCAGAGTCGGCAAGGCGTCTCGCGGACAAGGGTTGCAATGCACTTCTAAGCAAGACGTGTCCCAACTAAGCAAGAAGAATTCCATAGTTTACAACAAACAACTAGTACATAACAAACAGCGCGTATCTGAGTACATGCTATATGTGCAGTACAACTAGCACATGACAAACAACTGGTATGTAGAAAACAGTATATAGCCAAGACGTTTGACGAAGAAGCAGTGGTTAGTGCAACATTGGACACAGCGCTTGTGAAGAATTAAAGGGATGCCACTGATTTGCGCGAGAAATCCGCAATCGAATAGGGAAAATCGAATTCTGGTGGTAGAAATCGAATTTGAAGCCCTGAAATACAGAGGCTCTATCGCACATGACAAAGGAACGACATATCAAGCAACGGTGACAATATACGTGGCAAATTGGTAAATTAAGGTACACATAATAATCCAACACATAGCATGTACTGATATAATACAATACACAGCACTCCAATGTACAGCAACAACGCACACATTTAGAACATCATAATGACAATTTAATAAGCTGCATCTCTTCAAGAGAAGCGGACAGCCAGCACGCCCCACCTTCGCACACTTCCTCGCCCCCGAACGCGAAGGCGCACACCATGGAGTCGATGATGACGTCACCCCACGTCACCTCCGTCTCCGTCGCGCAGAAGTTGTTGCGCACGAAGTCGATGGGGGCCTCCTGCAGCGTCTGGGGCAGGCTGCCGTCGTCCAGGCGGCCCCAGCCGATGACTTTGAAGCTCTCAAAGCCCTGGAGCTCCTCGGAGCTCTGAGGAAGGCCTGCACGAGCGCCTGCTTTCACCGCCCGTTCTGATGCAATAGTCCTTCAATAATGGTACGTCTGGTAATACTTTCTCTGTTTGATAGTAATTGTCGTCCATTTGAAAGACAATTTTTTATGAAGCGGCCTTAGTCGACGGCCTTGAGGTTCTCGCAGCCCTGGAGCTCCTCGGAGCTTTGGGGAAGGCCTGCGGGAGCGTTTTGGTTCCTGGCCATTGCTTGTCATGATGCGATCATATACCAGTTATAGAAAATACCATATGACGTATCAAAGCAATATACCATCATGCTTGGCAACCGGAGTGATAATTTGCAACAATAATTGCCATGGACCCTATAATAATTTAAAAGTTTTATGGGATCATAAGCGTGGGGCAATTGGGTCAAAAGCACACAAAGCCGTTGAAATGATACGGCTATTTTGAAGGGGGGATGAACGAGAGTGCAGCGGTAAATGGGGGTACCCTGCAGCCGGGGAATTACCGACAAATCCCACACAATGCTACTAATCGGATGCATCGTGTATAATTTAGGAAACTCACACAGCGGTAGCTCAGAACAGGTTGGAAACCAAGCAGCCCATTCCCTTGCGAATTCCGCAGATTGGCAGTGCCCTGTCGATGATTTCAAATGGAACTTGAATAGAGAAACAACTCTAGATTAAAGTACAACAATCAGAAGACATAAATTCCAATAACGGCGCCATATTTCGCGAACGCACCTGCGAAGATGTGTCTGGATGGCGTCGGAAGGTGTATCAGCGCTATGTCGTTGCCGTCGCGCACGTCGCCTGTGTAGTTGCTGTGCACTATGGTCTCTCGGGCCAACATCTCCTGCGACCAGCGAGCCAATCAGCCATGAATCACCACGAGGCAGTGCACCTTGGCAAGGATATGCATGCGCATACACATGCTAAAGTACTGTATTGCAAATGCTCTAAAGTACATGCACGTGTGCTGCGCACCACCGTCTGTACGCAGCACATCGAGACAAAGGCAATGAGGCCCTCTTTCTCTTTCGCCAAAGAACCCAGCGCCGTTGATTTCGTCTGATACGCAAAGCAAATTTCGGACAGAGCGCACACGGCAAAGAAGCCAATAACCACCTAATGTACGGGTTCAATTCAATTAACATACTCATTATTTGCCCATTTACTTACACTAGGAAAAAAGGGCCAAATAACACGTGTTCAGACGTGTACAAAGTTTACGGGTTTGTGTTATTCTTGTGTTCTCAGCGTGTAGAACTTTGATGAAATGTGTTTTATGTGTGTTCGCAAAAGTGTTATTTGGCCCTTTTTTTCCTAGTGTTATTCATTTCCTTACTTACACATTATTTCATTCAGTCTCTCATTTGCTTGCATATTTGCTTACTGCAGAACTCGCAATGTACGTTCCCAGCCGATCTCACCTCCACGACTCCGTTGTCATTCTCTTCGTCGTCCAATCCGCACGCCCCGATGACCGCCACCGGCTGCGTGCCCAGGGAGTTGATGTTGACCGGGTCAACGCAGTGCGCCGCCGTCATGACCCACATGGGATGCACCAGGATGCCGCCGCACCTGCGCGTTCCGTTCCTTTCCATTTATCACAGTACATTGTGCGCTTTATCGATACCGATAAAGTATCGTAGCATCGATGCTTGTACGCGGATTTCACCGAATTGCACGGCAATGTCTTGCATGCACATGCAGCACACTGAATGATTAAATGCATTCAATCAGCATAAGATTACGTATTAAGTGTGTTAATTAATGGCAACCCAGTGCACCGTCGTCGCGATCAACATGGGGTGCATGAGGATGCAGCCGCACCTGCGCTTATCGCTCAATTCCATTCACAACACTACCATTATATCGTCGTTCCACCCTATACATTACGATTAATATTGGTATTGTTCACAAGGTATCGCAATGCATATGATGGGGCGACGATATAGTGGCACTGCAACGACCGATGAATGGGATACATGTATACACACATGGCAATGTACGTGATTCTCGTTAATCCCTTGTACTGCATTGCGTTCTACGTCAATGTTGCTCGCGTGACATTGATTAGATTTGGCGAAAGGGACAATTCACTGGCGATGGATGCGTTTTTCGGAGCAACCGCGCAAAGGAGTGAACGGGTCCAAAAATGTCAACGAGGGCAAAAACTCCACGAGGGGTGCCGGGCCCCACCTGTGACGATCGTTGCGGTCGCGCAGGCTGACCATGTAGGGGTAACGCCCGCATTCCGCGTCCACGCCTCCCTGGGCAAAAAAGTCACATTGCTTTCATTCTCTTAAATTGTCATAAATGAAATCACGCAGTAACGGAGGTGCGCCGCACGATTTTCACTGCCACGCCTCCCAAAGCGAAACAACACATCGCTTTCAGTTTTGTCGAATTGCCAAAAGTGAATCAAAAAAATTGTTTAGGTGCGAAGACCGCTTCTGCCAGGTCTCTTTGAGCAGAAGCACATTGCTTTCAATTTTGTTTGAAATGCCAAAACTGCCAAAATGGAATCGCGAAATTTAAGCACTCTGGTACAATATGGTACCAATGGTGAATATCAATGCTATATCGCTATCTGGTACCATGCAATTAATGCTTGATATAATGCTTATTTTCGGAGGCACGGTGGCCACTTCGATGCCACAAAAGGAGAATGTGCACTATGTGTTGCGAAATAAAAAAATACAAATTAAATTAAATAGAGGCGGACTCGACAATTGATTTCGAACGTATTTCATTGCGCTCAGTGAGTTCTATTTGAGGTTATGTCGCATATTTGTGGATTGAGACTATTCTAGGCTTATTTTGTGATTGTTTATTTCCATTTAGTTACTTCTGCTAACTATATTTTCCAATGCGCACCGCGATCTTGGGGTCCGCGGGAAGTCTGTCATCACTGACGCCGTCACCGTCCTGCCTCAGCTGCCTCAACATGTGTGCGCCTATCACAGCACATAACGCCATCTCAAACAAAACCAGTTTAAATGACGTCATCTCAAAAAAGTCAGACCAAATGACGTCATCTCAAACAAACCAGGCCCATTGCGTCATGAAACATGCAGGCCATGCGCCACAGTGCATCGACCAACAGAACGTGACGCATGGCACAGCGTAACATGCAACGTTACACATGTGGAACGGTACAGCCTTTGTGGCGTAGCAGTCTACTGCAGACTGGAGCGTACACCGTGGTCCACAGTAGATTGTCATGCCACTAAGGCTGCAATGGTGGGCCTTTTCTGTCACGACTTTTACTGGTGTTCAGTTTCCTCACTGTGTGCGTGGGCAGTCGCAGAACCGCCATGACGCAGGACACGGCCAGAGTCAACACTCAACCCAGCACATGTGGCATGCAACGCACACTGGCACTAAGTTACTTTGCTCTACTGCTAGCTTTTCTCAAATGGGCGTTTGTCGACAACATAAGAGAGCAAGCCCAACAGCAGAATCACAGTGAACCTCTCAACGAGACATCATTGTGCCCTGGAACAAAGAGCCAAAACATGGTATGGTGTACTTCTTTATTCCAATCAGCAGTTGAGTGAAGAAAACGAAAAAGGGCAGATGAATCAAGCAGCTCTGGCCCCCCAACGCAACCACTGCACTCGTTCCTTCCTGTGCTGCCCCCCGCCCATAGTTTAGCGCCCCAAGCAGCCACAGTACTTTACCGCCACTTCATCGTCTGCCCCCCTTCTTTCTCAGTACACAACACACCCAACCCTCCCAGTACTTCATCCAGTACTCCACACCCGCGCCCCCCCCGCGCCCCTGGGGAGAAATCCCGTCGGTCGTCGGGAGTCCCCCCGTACTTTGCCTGGTACTTTACTCCAGTACTCTACCAGAGCACCCTCGTACTTCGCCCCAGTACCCCAGCACATTACCCCGCGCTGCCCCAGTTACCTAGTACTTTACCCTGCGCCTCACTCCCACGCCCGCACCCCAACTCTCCCCGGGCAGCGGTCGTCGCGCGCTTGCGCCCGCGGCTCCAAAGCCCGCCGGCCCCGGAACTTGCCGACCGGCCCCGCTGCCCAAGGTAGTTCCCCGACGCCCGGCAGCGCGCCCCTACGGAATCAATCGAGCGACTCTCGTCGCGCGATTCGGTCAACGGTTGGTTGAGGCGAGGTCAGCTCCTGGCGGCCCCAGCGGGTCGACGCGACTTCGCGGGAGCAGCGGTGCGAATGCCGCTGCTGACTTCCGCTGACTTCAGCGGCTTCTTCGCGCCGCCCCGGGGCTCGATCGGCGGCCAGCTCGGGGCGCGGGCTCGATCGATCCCGTCGGTGACCGCGGGAGGTCAACGCCGGCCATCAGGGGACTGAACCGCATGTCAGCCGTCGGGCGGCGCCCCGGCGGAATCCTCGTCGCGAAGTGCACGCACGGCACCCACCCAAGGGTCGCCGCATGCCTCCTCCGGGGGGCCCGTCGCCGCGGCAACGCCTGGGAACCCCTCGCCTGCCCTCCCCCCCCCCCCCCCTTTCCCGCGACCCCCACACTCCCACACAACCTTTGGCTGTGTCCGCCTTCAAGCCTCAAAGGCCGGCGCATTTCCACCATAAGACGCACCCCAGAGACCCGCACCCCTCCACAAACCCCATCCCTCCCCATGCATTCCCCCCTCACCCAAATCAACCTTTGGAGAAGGCCGAGAAGGGGCAACGGGCTGGGGCTGGGCCTGGAGGGCCAACTGCTGGACATAGCGCCGCAGAGCCGAAAAGACAATCTTCCACCGCCCAGCGCCCTGCCGCCGCCCCTCGCCCTCAGACGGGGACACCACACTTCCCAACCAAGCTCCAGCGAAAGGGGTGGGTGTGTTGTGTGGGCGGGGGGACAGTACTACACAGCACCACAAAACCCACGGCACAATCCTCGGCCGCCCGGCGCGACCCCGCCGCGTCCCGCCTGCCGGCGATCACAACCAAGAGACACAGCAGCCCAGCGTTTCCAACGACATGCGCCCCCCCCCCCTTCCCCACCTTTCCGAAAAGCGCTCGCGACCACACTCACCTCCCGGCCTGGCGACCACCTCCTCCAGCCATGCCACCTGCAGCGCGGCGATCAGCAGCACCGCCGAAGCGACCGAGTGCATCCGCATGCCGCCAAGCCTGCAGGCGAGGCCCCTGGGGCCTCGCCTCTCCTTGCCCTTCCCGGCCTCCCTCCGATCGAATCTCCGAAGAAGAAATCGGCGAAATTCTTTCCAATCGTTGGGAGATGGATCGATCCAAGGGGAAAGGGAGGAGGTCCCTGGAGCGTCGGGCGTCGTTTGGAGGCGGCCGTGCGCGGAAAGCCCTGGGCGGAGGGAAGCGGGG